AATTATGGCAGAAGGCAAAGTGGGTACATGTGTTTCACATGACAAGAACAGGAACAAGAGAGACAGAAGGAGGAGGTCCCAGACTCTGTTAAATAACCAGGTTTCACATGAACTGAGTGAAAACTCACTTATCACCAAGGGGTTGGTGCATAGGCATTCATGAGGAATCTCCCCCATCATCCAATCACCTTCCATCAGGCCCCATTTCCAATATTGGGAATCACACTTCAACATGAGACTTGGAGGGGACAAACATGCAATCCATATCAGCTATCAGCTACCTACAAGAAACTCACATCAGCTGCAAAGACATACACAGACTGAAAGTAAAGGAATAAAAAATTATATTCCATGTAAACAGAAACCAAAAGTGAGAAGGAGTAGCTGTACTTATATTAGATAAAATAGGTTTCAAGATAAAAATTGTAAGAAAAGAAAAAGTTTTCAATTTAGCAAGAGGATATAACCATCCCAATCATATTAAATACACGCAGTCAACACAGGAGCACCCAAATATATAAAGCAAATAGTATTAATCTAAAGGGAGAGATAGGCTCCAATACAATAATAGTTGAGGACTTCAACAAACAGTCTCAGAATTGGCCATCATTTAGACAGAAAAATAAGAAAGAAACATCAGATTTAAAATGCACTTTAGACAAAATAGAACTAACAGATATTTACAGAACATGTTATCCAGCTGCTACATAATGCATTTTTTTCTCATCAGCACAGGAAACATTCTCCAGGACAGATCATTTGTTATGCCATTAAACAAGCCTCAACAAATGTAAAGTAATCAGAATCATATCAAGTATCTTCTAAGACTACAATGGAATTAAACTAGAAATCGGTACCAAGGAAAACTTTGGAAACTGTACAAATACATGAAAATTTAAAACATGCTCCTGAGTGACCACTGAATCAATTAATAAATCAAGAAGAAAATTTAAAAATTTCTTGAAACAAATGAAAATGGAAACACAAAATACCAAAACCTATAGGATATAGCAAAAGTAGTGCTAAGATGGAAGTTTATAGTAATAGATAAATAAATAAATAAAAGTAGAGAGTTTAAATATACAACCTAAAGATGCATCTTTAAAAAACTGGAAAATCAAGAACAAACCAAACCCAGTATCTTTTGTTCTAAACCCAAAATTAGAACAAAAGAAATAATAAAAATCAGAGCAGAACTAAATGGAATAGAAACTAAAAAGAAATACAAAGGATCAATGAAACAAAGAAGCCTGTTTTTAAAAAAGATAAATAAAATCAATAAACTAGACTAGGCTATACTGATCAAGAAAAAAAGAGAGAAAACTCAAATAAATAAAATTGGAAATGAAAAAGGAGACATTACAACCGATATCACAGAAATACAAAGCATCATCAGAGACTATTATGGACAACTTTAGCCTAACAAACTGGAAAACCTAGGGGAATGGATAAATTCCTGGACATATACAGCCTAACAAGATTGAACCAGGAAGATATAGAAAACTTGAACAGACCAATAAAGAATAATGAGATTGAATCAGTAATAAAAATTATCCCAACAAAGAAAAGTCTAGGACTGGATGGCTTTTCTGCCAAATTCTGCCAAACTCAGGAAAGAGCTAACGCAAATTCTTCTCAAACTAATTCTTTAAAATTAAAGAGGAGGGAATTCTTTCTAATTAATTCTACAAGGCTATCATCCTGATACCAAAACCAGACAAGGATACACACAAAAAGAAAACTACAATCTCCCTAATGAATATAGATGTAAAAATCCTCAACAAAATACTAGCAAACAGAATCCAACAACACATCAAAAAGATAATATACCATAATCAAGTGGAATTTATCCCAGAAATGCAAGAATGGTTCAACATATGCAAATCAATAAACATGATATATCACATCAACAGAATGAAAGACAAAAACCGTAAGTTCATCTCTATAGATTAAGAAAAACATTTGATAAAATCCAACATACCTTCTTCATGATAAAAACTGTCAACAAATCAGGCATAGAAGGAACATACCACAACATAATACAGGCCATATACAACAAACATCATCATACTGAATAGGGAAAAGCTGAAAGCATTTCCTCTAAGAATTGGAACAAGACAAGAATGTCCCCTTTCACCACTTCTATTCAACATAGTACCAGAAGTCCTAGCCAGAGCAATTGGGTAAGAAAAAGAAACAAAAGGCATTCATACTGAAAGAGAGCAAGTCAAACTGTTTTTCTTTGCAAATGACACAATCTTTTATACAGAAAAAACACAATCTTTTATAATAAAAAACTTTTATCCACCAAAAAACTTTTAGAACTGATAAATGAATTCAGTAAAGTTGCAGGATACAAAATCAACATACAAAACTCACTAGCATTTCTATACACTAATAATGAACTAGCTAAAAAGAAATCAAGAAAGCAATCCCATTTACAATAGCTACAAAATAAATAAATAACCTTAAAATAGATTGAATCAAGGAGGTGAAAGGTCTGTATAAGGAAAACTATAAAATGCTGATGTAAGAAGTTGAAGAGGACACAAACAAATGGAAGACATTTCATGCTCATGGTTGGAAAAATTAACATCGTTAAAATGATCATACTGACTCTAAAGCAATCTACAGGTTCAATGCATAATTATTAAAATACCAATGGCATTTGTCACAGAAACAGAAAAAAAAGTTCTAAAGTTCACATGGACCACAAAAGACCCCAAATAGTCATAGCAATACTGAGCAAAAGGAACAAAGTTGGAGGCATCACACTACCTGATTAAAAAATATACTACAAAGCAATAATAACCAAAATGGCAAAGTATTAGTATAAAAACAGGCACATAGACTAATGGCACAGAATAGGAAACCCAGAAATAAATCCATGTATTTATAGCCAAATAATCTTTGACAAAGCTGACAAGAACATACACTGGGGAAAGGACACCCTCTTCAATGAATAGTGCTGGGTAAACTGGGATCCATATGCAGAAGAATGAAACTAAACCCCCGTCTCTCACCATATACACGTAGAATAAGCTCAAAAACTAAACCCCTATCTCTCACCATATACATGTAAAATAAGCTCAAATGGATTAAAGATTTAAACATAAGACTCAAAATGGTAAAACCACTAAAAGAAAACAGGGCAAACACTTCAGGACACTCATGTATGTAAAGCTTTTATGGCTAAGACCCAAAAAGCATAGGCAACAAAACCACAAATGGACAAATAGACAAAAACTAAAAAGTTTCTTCACAGCAAAGGGAACAATCAATACAGTGAAGAGACAACCTGTAGAATGGGAGAAAATATCTGCCAACTATCCATCTGACCGAAGACTAATATCCAGAATATACAAGGAACTCAAGCAACTGAGGAGCACAAAACACAAATAATACCATTAAAAAATGAGGAAAGGATTTTAATAGATATTTCTCAAAAGAAGACATACAGGTGCCCAACAGGTATATGGACAAATGCTCAACATCACTAATCATCAGGGAAATACAAATTAAAACCACAATGAGGTATCATCTCATTGGAGTTAGAATGGTTATTACCAAAAAGACAAAAAATAACAGATGCTGATGAGGATGCAGAGAAAATGAACTCATACACTATTGGCAGGAATGTAAATTAGTACAACCATTATAGAAAACAATATGGAGGTTTCTAAAAAAAACTACAAATAGAATTACCATATGCTGCAGTAATTCCACTACTCAGTATTTTTCTAAAGGAAAAGAAATCAGTATATCAAAGGAATATCTGCACTCCATGTTTATTATAGTACTATTCACAAAAGCCATGACATGGAATCACCCTAAGTGTCCATAAACAGATGAATGGATTTAAAAAATGTGGCATATCTACACAATGGAATATTACTAAGCCATAAAAAGAATGAAATCCTATCACTTGCAGTGACATGGATGGAACTGGAGGTCATTATGTTAAATGAAATAAGACAGGCACAGAAAGACAAATATCGTATGTTCTCACTCATATGTGGGAGCGTAAAAAGTTAATTTCACAGAGGTAAAGAATAGAATGATAGTTACCAGAGGCTGGGAAGTGGGGATGGGTGGAAAGATGAAGAGAGATTGGTTAATGGGTGCAGACAGTTAGACAGAAGGAATAGATTCTAGTGTTCAATAGCACAGTAGGGTGACTATAGTTAAGAACGATATATTGTATATTTCAAAATAGCTAGAAGAGATTTGAAATGTTCCCAATATAACGAAATGATACATGTTTGAAGTGATGGATAGCCTAATTACACTGATTTGGTCATTAACATTAAATGTATGTATCAAAATATTACATGTATTCTATAAAGATGTACACTTATTATATACCAACAACAAAACCCTTCCTTCAAAAGAATCTCCAGGCCCAGATGGCTTCACCAGTGAATTCTCCTAACACTTAAAGATACTGTTTCCAACAACAGAAAGAGGAAACACTTCCCAACTTATGAGGCCAATATAACCATGATTCCAAAACTTGAAGAGGACATTACAAGAAAGGAAGATGATGAGAGTAACATCTGACCCCAAAGTGGAGGTTGCACTAGGGTATCAGCTAGAGAGATTTTGTCCTGAGGCTCCACATGTAATACAAAAATGTGATCACACGTTTGCCAGAACAGATTGTGTTGAAAGTTCCTCTTACAATTTGTCAAGTTCTCTCCCCAAATACAATGCAATTCTCTCATTAATGATTTGCTTCTTTGGACTGAGCACTGTCTTTTTAATGAATTGTCTCCTTACCTCTTGAACAATGCCTAAACTTTTGTCTGGTTTTATATTTAGTCCTATGTATGTATGAACTCAGACCACTCTTCTCTGTGGAAAGCAGGGCCACAGAAGACAACACACTGGCTGTTGTATGGCTTTGCTTAAGGTCGGCCATGTCTCATTGGTATTCAGGCTTTCTTTTCAATCCCATTCTCCCATTCCCACAACCTGCCTGCCCCCAAGCATCGTCCTACCTGATGGAAGTCACCCACTTGCCGGACGTAACCAGCCACTTCATTGTCAGATTTAAAGATCTTCCAAACTTTTTTCTCTGCCTTCTTGTATTCCTGGGATCCTTTCCAGTCCATACCCATCAAGGAGCGCTCTGTCAGGGCAGCTGCCACGATGACGTCCAGTTGGCCATTGTACATCAGAACCTGAAATGAAATCAAGCCATCAGCAAATGCAAGATTGAGGAGGTGAAGCTCATGGATCAAGCCAGGTATAAACAGTGAGCCAGCGAGAGAGAAAAAGAGACAAGAATCTCTCTGAGATTTTCTTCTAGTTAGCCACAAACAACAACAATCTGAAATAAACTCAAGCCTTGTCTCTACCACTGCATTCTTCATAGTAATCTGCATAAAGGCCTCTCTTGGTTGCAAAAACATTTGTGTTGTATTACCCAGTGATACATATATACAGGTTTTACTTGGATTTATGGCTATGTTAAGACAGAGGACTGTGGTTACATTTTAGTGGAACTAAGGAATACTACCCCCTAGGATTCTCATGAAGCCTGCATTTCATTAACTTCAACTTCAGGCACTGCAGTCACTGGCAAGCTGAGCATTCTCTTGGGTATTGCTAATCCATATTGTCCTCCTCTCCTACACTGATTTCAGTGGCAAGTATAATTGTTTTGCAGCAGCAGACAGAGATTCAGGTGCCTCAAATTTGTTTCTTATTGGAAGCAACTATGCCTGCCATGCCACTTGTAAAACTTCCTTTTTAAAAATATGACAGCTGCTTGTCAACAGTGAGGAATGTTCTTTCTTCCTAGAATACAATTTTGTGTGTGGGTCAAACTGATGGTTATCACAGGAAAAACAACACTGAGGTAATTCTTTTCTTTAATCCTAAAACAATTTTCAATTTGCTTGTAAAAAGAATTCAGATAACTCCCAATTCTGATAAAGTTGAAGAACTAATGGGGACAGTATAAAATGGCTCTACTTTTCAGAAAAGCAGTAGCCAATTTTCTGCCCCCAAACTTAAAAATGTTGAAATTCCTTGTCCCAGTAATTTCAACTTGTAGAATATATTCTAGGAAAACAGGTCCAAAGAATTTTTTAAAAATTATATATATTCATTGAGTCTTATAATAAAAAACTCAAACACAATCCAGAAGTCCTATAATTGAGTAGGTAAATGCACAGCAGTACAGGAATTCTGTAGGATATTATAACACCATTTAAAAATGTTTCGTTGAACCATGATGCAATGTGGGAAACGCTTATCACATAATGTTACGTATGAAAGCAGAAAGTCAAATATAATGTATATCACGATTATAACTATAAAAATCAGTGTACATATTCACATATATGGAATACAAAGTTTGAAAAATGTTAATAATTAATTTAGATGGTGGAAATCTGAGTAATATACCCTCCTTTTTTCTACTTTAATGCTACTTCTGTGCAACTAACATATTATCATAAAGTATTGCCACTCCACCTCCAACAAAGAGGTCAGCCTCAACTCCACGCTACCTTTGATCTATTTGAAGGCTCTGATCTATTTGGCCCGGGTGGAGACCTTTGGTTGAATCCTCAAATTGGATATAAAATATTTCACTGCATATGTTTCCGTCTTTCCCTTTATGGTGCGGGCTTCTTAAAAGGCTCAAACATAATTAAAAAGTCCAGGACTTTTACACACTCCAAATCCTCAAGCAGCAGTGGGACAGCAGTCAGACTAAGATGAAAGAGCCCCGGGCCCCCACTGCAGGAACATGAGGCCTTTCAAGTTAGTCAGTCACCATCACCACCCCCACTCCCCTAAGAAGAAACCCACAGGAAAATCCTGATAGATTTAAAGCCTGTGAAAAAAATTCAACTCAACTCCAGTCATAAAATATTTGCATTGTTTATACAGAGAAATTACCTCAAAGACCTTGAGTACTTATGGCCTCTGCAAAACCTCCTATAGTTGTTTTGGCCAACAGTATGGAAACAATTACATATGATCAGTACCAGTGAACAAGGTTTAATTACTTCACCATTCTAGGAAGACCTGATTATAGCTGATTAGCAAAGATCATCATGCATAAAGTGATTCTTCTTCTAGAATTCAGTGTAAAAGATGCTGATCAATCAGCAAATTCATAGCACATCCATTTAGTTTTACTCTTCATGGCCACTATAGGCAGCTTGCATCTCTCATGTGTCTCCCACAGCTTTCTTTACTGACAATCATTACTATATTTTGAAATCAATGTGATGTTTTTTTCATCCTTAAGGGACAACAGCAAAGTCCCCATGTTACAGCAAAAACAAATTTATATGTACAGCACTATATTACATGTTGAACTGACGTGGAATGAGGACCATCCCTGAGTTGCTTCTCTTGTTAGTCAAGACTTATCATAACAAGAGCACCAACTCTCTGGACCAAAAAACAGTGAAGAGCTGAACTGCACAATCTCACACAGGCGATGTGTACTTTTGGGTACAAATGGAAACCCTTCCTTTGCAAAGCAAGGAAACCATTTTGTATTTCTGAAGGGCACATAAGTCAAATGCAACAAAAAATAAACCAGAATAATGATCATGAGAAGTGATTTCAAAGCTGACGCTTAAGGCAGGCCAGCATTAAACATAAGAATTCCAGAGCTTATTTTCACCTAAATGTCACATTTATTCTCATGAGCCCCTACAGGAATAGCCCAGTTAGGTGCCTCTAGGCTGGATGAGTGGATGAGATAGCCCAGGATCCAGTGACTGAGCATGAGAAGCAGGTGGGCATGGCATAGAGGTGGTCCTGAAGCCCAAGGGCACACGCTGGCTACCCACATCCTGATAGAAAAGTTACAGGCAGGACCTTAGCTCTGACAGGGACAGGTTGGCCAAATATGTCTGCACACTCATCTCACTTCTCCCCTGGTAGGGTGACCAACTGTCCCAGTTTGCCCTGGACAGGAGTTGCCCAGCAAGACATTCAGTGCTAAAACTGGGACACTCTGGAGCAAACCTACCCTGAGGCTTGCTGTTATTTTAAGCAACAAAGTCTAAAGACAGAAGGGAGGAGACAGAGATGAATGCAGCTTTTAGCTACACTTCCCTTGTCAATAGTGATTGGAACAAAACAAGGAACAAGGAAAGAGCTGGTTGGAGTTGGTTTCCAGTGACGTACCACGCAGTGCCCTGAACACGCATGTCCTCACTTTCCTTTCTGGTCAGCTGCAGGCCTCTGGTAAGGGAGCAAAACCACTGCTTTTAGAGACTTCTTTTACTCCTTAGAGAGCTGGCTGCTTAGCTTATTGAAACTGACGGTTATGCAATGTCACAGAAAAATGTTTATCTTATGAAAAAAATCAATGAAAAACTGAGACTTCACTTGTTTGTACTCTAATTATCACATATTTAAAAATGCTTCAAACCTGGGGAAAGAACAAATCAAAATACAGTTAAGTTATTTGAACTGTGGTTGATTGTTTTAGATTGGCTATTTTCTAGGTTTTTGTTTTGTTTTGTTTTGCTTTTGGCAAATGTGGTTACAATCCCTTTTTATTTATTTATTTATAAGAGACAGAGTCTCACTATGTTCCCCAAGCTGGAGTGCAATGGCACAATCTTGGCGCACTGCAACCTCCACCTCCTGGGCTCAAGTCATCCTCCTATTGGGACTACAGGTGTACGCCACTACACCCAGCTAATTTTTTTGTATATTTTGTAGAGATGGGGTTTCGCCACGTTGCCCAGAGGCTGGTCTTGAACTCGGCTCAAGCAATCTACCCACCTCAGCTTCCTTCCCAAAGTGTTGGGATTACAGGCATGAGCCACTGCAACCTGGCCATAGAATGCTTTTTATTTATTGATTTATTTATTTTTCTTCAACTTTTAAGTTCAGGGGTATATGTGCAGGTTTGTTACACAGGTGAACGTGTGCCATGGTGGTTTGCTGCACAGATCATCTCATCACCTGGATATTAAGCCCAGCAACCACTACCTATTCTTCCTGATGCTCTCCCTCCCCCAACACCCTCCTGACAGGCCCCAGTATGTGTTGTTGCCCCCATGTGCCCATGTGTTCTCATCGTTTTTTAAAAAAATAATTCTTGAATATAGCACACTGATGGGTCTTGACTCCATCCAATTTGCCAGTCTGTGTCTTTTAATTGGAGCATTTAGCCCATTTACATTTAAGGTTAATATTGTTATGTGTGAATTTGATCCTGTCATTATGATGTTAGCTGGTTATTTTGCTCATTAGTTGATGCAGTTTCTTCCTAGCATCGATGGTCTTTACATTTTGGCATGTTTTTGCAGTGGCTGGTACTGGTTGTTCCTTTCCATGTTCACTGCTTCCTTCAGGAGCTCTTGTAGGGCAGGCCTGATGGTGACAAAATCTCTCCGCATTTGCTTGTCTGTAAAGGATTTTATTTCTCCTTCACTTATGAAGCTTAGTTTGGCTGGATATGAAATTCTGGGTTAAAAATTCATTTCTTTAAGAATGTTGAATACTGGCGCCCACTCTCTTCTGGCTTGTAGAGTTTCTGCTGAG